GTGCATATGGATGCGTTTAAGAAGCATTTTTATGAGGACATTGAGTAAGTATCATGAATTGTGGTCAACAACTTCTCAACTTAAAATAACCTAAATAAGATGAGAAATTTATTTAATGTTTGTTACGTGCATGTAAACCTTATGTCAATTTCTTAATAAGTGTGTTATCTGAGTTTTATCCATTACAATAATAAGATAAATATCTTTAACTTCCTTGTGTTATCTGAGTTTTATCTGACCTTTCTATTCTTCACTATTTCACTCTTTCTGGTGGAAGGAAAATGTTTGTTCAACCATCGATTATGAAAATATATTTTCCATATTTTGGATTGTCAAATTGATTCTAGTTTATATAACCAGTTCTCAATTAATCATTACCCAAAAAATAATTTTATAGACGTGGGTTATATTATTATTATTATTATTATTATTATTATTATTATTATTATTATTATTATTATTATTATTGATTGATTGATTGAATTGCCTCCCTAAACCGATAGACAATTTAACTAGATATATAATGAATTCAAATGGATTCAAATGGATTTTCCCGTCCTGAAAATCGCTTTTGTGATTTTGATGGATTATTATTGGTTTTATAAATAATAATAATAATAATAATAATATTTATAAGTAATTATTATTTATAATTAAATATTATTATTGTTTAATGTACGTAGCCTACAATTAAAAAAAAATTTATGATTTATTAGGTTTATTATTAGAAAAATATATTAATTTATTTTAGAAGATAAAATAATTCTTTATTCATGCCTTAGTGCAAAATTAGGGAGTGATTATATTTTTTGACAATGATGAAGTCATTGTCGAAAACGTCATCATAATATTTTTTAAAATACAATCAATTCAATTATATAACAATAATTATTTAATAATCATCGTATACAAGATAACAATTATTAAACAGACCATTGTGAATATGGACGATACAAACTATTTGATTGATGAATTTTTATTAACCATTATTGTATGCTTTATACGATGACAATATTTTTGAAAATACAATCAATTATAGACCATAACAATTATTAAACACCCGTTGTGAACATGGACGACACAAAGTATTTGAAGACGAGTTTTTATTAACCATCATTGTATGCTTTTCACTATCTCCTCCTTCCGTGACTCTCTCCATCTAGTTGATCACACTGGCTGCAAGTCTTTTTCTCTTGCTCTATGCATCTCTGTTGGGTATTTCCGAGGGAGCTAACAACTATTTGATGACGAGTTTTTATTAACCATCATTGTATGCTTTATATGATGACAATATTTTTGAACTCTCCATCTAGTTGATCACACTGGCTGCAAGTCTTTTTCTCTTGCTCTATGCATCTCTGTTGGGTATTTCCGAGGGAGCTAACAACTATTTGATGACGAGTTTTTATTAACCATCATTGTATGCTTTATACGATGATAATATTTTTGAAAATACAATCAATTATATAACAATTATTAAACACCCGTTGTGAACATGGACGACACAAACTATTTGATGACACTTGCTGCAAGTCTTTTTCTCTTGCTCTATGCATCTCTGTCGGGTATTTCTGAGGGAGCTAACAACAGAAAGATTCTCACAAATAGGTCATGAGCCAACCATATAAGAGAATATCATACCACCTTCAACCCAAAATCTTAAGGCATTAGATTATGGGTCTTTCTTACTTATAAGTTACTCAACATTCTCATTTCTATCCAATGTGGGACTTCAAACTCATACTTGAATTCTCATCATCTCCCTCTCTAGTGTGATTTCCTTTCATATTGGTATACCTCCCCCTCGAGCGGAAGCATTTCTAAGCCATGAGTACCGAATAAGGTTTTTTCCTAGCTTTATGCAATAATCTCCAATGACATGTTGCATATAATTATTAAACCCAATGCCACGACCATGGATGCTTGGAATAGATTGAGAAATATTTTTCAAGACAACAAACATTTATGTGTGGTAACTCTTGAGGCCGAATTCTCCACTACTAAGATGAAGAATTTTCTGAATGCTTTGGCATATTGTCAACGTCTTAAGAAGTAGATGCAATTGTATATTATTCTTATAAACACAATGAGTTACAAGTTGCTTATACAAATAAAATAACTTATTTGATTGAAATCAATGAGATAGAAACAAGGAGGGAGACTAATCAAATTGACAAATTATAAAGGCCTAGAAACACCATATGAACTTCTCATTTTAATTCAATATATAATCTTTTTTATAGATGTTTAGTGCAACAAATACAGATTTTGAAGATTTAGCTATTAATATATTTGTATATTTTCAATGAGGTGATGCTACTTATGTTTTTAAATCTTTGATGACATTTGATTTTGTGTTCATTTTATATATGATGAGAGAAATTATGAGAATCATTGACAAGCTTTGTTAAGTATTGGAACAAAAATTTTAAGATATTTTGAATGTTATGCATTTAGCTTATAGTATAAAATTATTAATTCAAAAATTAAGAAATTATAGTTGTAAAACACTTCTTGAGAAAGTTAACATTTTTTTGTAACAAACAAGAAATTGAAGTACCTGGTATGAGTGTTTTTTTCTTTGATATAATTTGATTTCATCATTGAAAAGATGTTGTCACAATTGAGCTTCTTGTATTTATATATTTACTATTGTACTATACTATCAATTGAAAAAAAATTAAATAATAGATTCAACGAGTACATAACCAAATTTTTCGTATTGAGCATTAGTTTGAATCTTAAATATCACTGCAAAAAATTTAATACTTCTTCGTATTTTTTTTAATAAAAAGAGATTAAGTTAACATGTAAATTACAATATTATAAATTTGATGTGTCTAAAACTCCAAAATTTTAAAATTTGTCTACTGTTATATAATTGTGTCAAAAAATAATAAAAATTAAAAAATCAAATATATATTTTTTTATTGATAGATTGATTCAATTCATTCTAACTCTTATTATCTCTACAATTTTACGAAGGATGGTTACAAAATTCGATTAAAACATTGATAATTTTTAAAATATGAAACATCTTAAAACATAATTTAAATAATAAATTGATAAAATTTTAAATATTAAAGATTGTAAAACATAATTAAAATGTATTTAACTCTATATATACGTATAATTGATCTTATAAATGAATAATTTATATTTTTAATAATTTTATATAATATATTTATTTTTATATTATTCTTTTATATATTGAAGCACGTTTAAAATTCATTTCTTACTCCTGACAGTTTTTCATATATCTCCGCCTTTTTTTTTCTTTGATCCACTTTCCTCGCTGACCCATATATATATATATATATATATATATATATATATATATATATATATATATATATATATATATATATATATATATATATATATATATGTATCCATCCAATTTATGTTATCCGTCTCTCTCGCTGATCCTGCACATTGATTCATTCAACAACCAAAATATAATATAATAATAAATAATAACATTATATTCAACCGACAAGTAAAATATAATATAATAATAGATAACGATTAAAATATAATATAATAATAAATAATAATATTATATTAGCATGTATTGGTAATATTTTATTATAAAAAAATATTTTTAAAAGAGAAAACAATAATAATAAAAAGATATAAAAAATAATAAGTAAAATATAATAATTTATTTATCAATTTTTTTATTATTTATAAAAATAATAAATTTGTATAAATAATTTTAAATAATAAAAATAAAAATATTAACCAAATAATTAACAAATTTATTAAAAAAGAAAACAAAATAATGGAAAGACTACATATTATAATAACTAATTCATTCAACAACCAAGACTGTATAATAGTAAATAATAATATTATACCTCGTACGATTCAATCAACAACCAAAATACAGTATAATAATAAATAATAATATTATATTAATATGTTTGATATTTAATTATAAAATAAAAATAATTTTTTTAAAAGAAAAAACAATAATAATATAAAAATATAAAAAATAAAAAAATAATTAATAAGTAAAATAATAAGTTATTTCTCAAGTTTTTATTATATTTATTATTTATAAAAAATAATAAATTATTATATATAAGTTTAAATAAAAAATAAAGGTATTAACAAAAAAAATAACAAGTTAAAAATAAAAATAAATGATCAGAATCTATAGTTTCTCGATGTATGTCAGTCTTTTTTTTAATAAATGATGTTTCAAATCAAAATATATTCTTAAATATATTTTGAATAATAATATAATCTATAAATAAAATATAATTTTTAAATAAAATAAATATTTAAAAATATTTTTAATTATATTAAACTGAGATAATCATTTTAAAAATTATAAATAATTTATTTAATTAATTTATATAATATTAATTTTTATATAACTATGATAGAAATTAATGTTTTTAATAAATAATTTACTTTTATATTTAATGAACTATTACGTGATGTACACAATCATTATTTCTTATATTACAAATTTTTTTATCAATAAATAAATTCTATAATAATTAACATTAATTACATTAGAATTTTTTAATAACTAGATTTATTATATTTATCATAAAAATAATATTATTTAATTAGATAAATAAATTATTCATAATTTTTGAAATGTTTATTTAGGTTTAAGAAAAATAAAATATGTTCAATGATTTATTTATTTAAAATATGTATTTTATTTTTATTTAGGTTAAATTATATTATAATTTAAAATAAATTTTTGAATATATTTTAGATTATTTTGAAATATATATATATATATAGATATAGATATATATATTTTTTTTATGAATAAATTCTATTATTGATTTTTTGTGTTGAACAGTGATTAGTTGATAATTGCAACATCAAATGTAGAAAAAAATAAAAATATTATTATTATATTAAAAAACAGTTATGGTTTGAATGTATAAGACACCTCTAGTGAACCAGTTCCCTCGTACTCAGTAGTCCACTTCTATAACCTTTCATCTAGCACTAGCCTAAGACAAACCAACATGTCAGTAACCTTGGAAGCCTCTTACATGGTGAAGCCTATGGAGCCAACACAAAGTGGACGTGTACCCTTATCTGAATGGGATCAAACAGGAACCATAAATCACGTTCCCATAATATAGTTTTATGGTCCCTCGAAACACTTTGATCTCTCCCCAAACTATACCAATATTGCTTCCACCTTAAAGGACTCATTAAGCCGAGTCCTGGTGCCGTTTTATCCTCTAGCTGGTCGTTTGCACTGCATAAAAAATGGTCGTTTAGAGCTTGATTGCAATGCCAGGTGCTCAGTTCGTTGAAGCTCAGTCCTCGTTAAGATTGGAAGATCTCGGTGACTTTTCATCTTCTTCAGGGTACCACTCCCTTGTTCCAAGTCTAGACTACACTCTCCCATTTCACGAGTTGCCCTTGCTTCTGGTTCAGTTAACCAAGTTCAAGTGTGGTGGCATTAGCATTTGCATAGCAATTTCTCATGTAGTTGTTGATGGACAAAGTGCGTTCCTCTTCACTTCTGAGTGGGCGAGGCTTGCACGCGGCGAGCCTCTGCAAACAGTGCCGTTTCTTGACAAGAAAGTGTTGCGTGCTGGGGAGCTTCCTTTGGTACCGTTAACAAAGTGTCGGCTTCACGCGGAGTTCGATGACCTTCCGTCATTGCTGGACAAAACGAAGATCACAGAGGAAAGGAAGAAGAAAACCAAAGTGGCTATTCTCAAACTAAGCAAAGTCCAAGTTGAGACGCTGAGAAAGACAGCAAATGAGAGTCATAGACCTAGGAACGGTCGTGGTTACACTCGTTACGAGAGTGTAACTGGCCACGTGTGGAGAAGTGCATGCAAGGCAAGAGGGAATAAAGAGGACCAACCATCCGCGCTTTGTGTTTGTGTTGACTCGAGGGGTCGCATGGAACCTCCTTTGACAAAAGAGTATTTTGGAAATGCCACTTTCGATGTGGTTGCTTCAAGCCTCGTGGGTGATTTGGTGTCAAAGCCTTTGGGGTATGCGTCAGGTAGAATAAGAGAGACTATTGAGAGGGTGAATGATGAGTACGTGAGGTCGGGGATTGAGTTCTTGAAGAATCAAGAGGATTTGAGTAGGTTTCAGGATCTTCATGGGATAGGGGTGAGAAGGAGCCTTTATATGGGGATCCTAATCTTAGTGTTGTTAGTTGGTTGACGTTGCCGATCTATGGGATTGATTTTGGGTGGGGGAAGGAGCTTCATATGAATCCAGGGCCATATGATTTTGATGGAGATTGTGTGCTTCTTCCTGGTCCCGATGGGGATGGATCTTTGTTGCTTACTTTATGTCTGCAAGAAGTTCATATGGATGCGTTTAAGAAGCATTTTTATGAGGACATTGAGTAAGTATCATGAATTGTGCTCAACAACTTCTCAACTTAAAATAACCTAAATAAGATGAGAAATGTATTTAATGTTTGTTATGTGCATGTAAACCTTATGTCAATTTCTTAACCACTGTCTTATCTGAGTTTTATTCATTACAATAGTAACATAAATATATTTAACTTCCTTAGTTTTAAGACCTTTCTATTCTTCACTATTTCTGATGGAAGGAAAATGTTTGGTCAACAATCGATTATGAAAATATATTATCCATATTTTGGATTGTCAAATTGATTCTAGTTTATATAAACAGTTCTCAATTAATCATTACCCAAAAAATAATTTTATAGACGTGGGTTATGTTATATTATTATTATTATTATTATTATTATTATTATTATTATTATTATTATTATTATTATTATTATTATTATTATTATTATTATTATTGATTGAATTGCCTCCCTAAACCGATACATAATTTAACTAGATATATATTATGGTTCATGTTGAGTTTACTTAATTACCAACAATGAATTCAAATGGATTTCCCCGTCCAAAAAATCGTTTTTTTGATTTTGATGGATTATTATTGGTTTTATAAATAATAATAATAAAATTTATAAGTAATTATTATTTATTATTACATATTATTATTGTTTAATGTACGTAGCCTACAATTAAAAAAATTAATTTATGATTTATTAGGTTTATTATTAGAAAAATATATTAAATTATTTTAGAAGATAAAATAATTCTTTATTCCTGCATTAATGCAAAATTAAGGAATGATTATACTTTTTAACAATGACGAAAAGTTGTCATGATAATATTTTTGAAAATACAATCAATTATATAACAATAATTATTTAATAATCTTCGAATATAACATAACAATTTTTATTTTTCAAAATACAATCAATTAGATAACAATAATTAAACACCCGTTGTGAACATGGGCGACACAAACTATTTGATGATGAGTTTTTGTATGCTCTATACGAAGACGATTATTAATCTAGTTTATCACGTTGGCTGTAAGTCTCTTCCTCTTGCTCTCTACATATTTGTTGGGTATTTCTGAGGGGGCTAACAACAAGAAGATTCTCACAAATGGGTCATAAGCCAATCATATAAGAGAATATCATACCACTTTCAACCCAAAACCTTAAGGCATTAGGTTATAGGTATTTCTCATTTCTATCCAATGTGAGACTTCAAACTCATACTTGAATTCTCAACATCTCCCTCTCTAGTGTGATTTCCTTTCACATTGGTATACCTCCCCCTCGAGCGGAAGCATTTCTAAGCCATGAGTACCTAGTGATGACCTTACTTGTACCAACCTACTATACTCAAGGACCTGCTATACTCAACTGAGCCTTCCTATTGCTCTCTGCATCTTTGTTGGGTATTTTCGAGGGGCTAATAATAGAGAGATTCTCACAAATGAGTCATGAACTAACCATATAACAGAATATCATACCACCTTCAACCCAAAACCTTAAGACATTAGGTTATGATTATTTCTCACTTATAAGTTACTCAACTTTCCCATTTCTATCTAATGTGAGACTTCAAACTCATACTTGAGTTCTCAACATCCCTCTCTAGTGTGATTTCCTTTCACATTGGTATACCCACTACTAGAAAAATGGTTAATAGTGACCGAAATTAGTAACTGAAAAATTCAGTCACTGATAATAACTGAATCAGTGACTGATTTTCATTTTATATTTAGTGACTGATTTAGTGACTAAAATTTCAGTCACGAAAATCGGTCACTGATTCGGTGACCAAATCAGTCACTGATTCGGTCACTACTAGAAAAATGGTTAATAGTGATCAAAATTAGTGACCGAAAAATTCGAGTTACTAATAGTAATTGAATTGGTGACTGATTTAGTGACTAAAATTTCAGATCACTAAACAAATAATATATAAATTAGTGACCATTTTTTATTTATATAAATATTTTTAAAAAATATTTTAATAATATATTAAATATAAATCTATTTAATAATTTAAAATAATTGATAAAAATTTTAATAACATTATAAAAATTTTAAAAAATAGTTTATTAACTTATTAAATAATTTAGTAATATAATTATTTGATTTTATTTTTTAATTTAGTATGTGAATAAAAAAATTAAAATTAATTATTAAATTGGTCACCGATTTGATCATTAAAGTAATTATTAATTTAGTCTCTTTTATATATATATATATATATATATATATATATATATATAATCAATGATTAAATTAATTATTAATTTAGTCTCTTTTATATATATATATATATATATTACTTTTATGTTAATAAAAATGTATTTCAATGTATTTATAAAAAAATTAAAATTATTTTAATTATTGAATTGATATTTCAAAATTATATTAATATTTTGGATAATTTAATAATTGGATAAATATTTTAAGTTTACATTAGTATTTTTATAAAAGTGTAAAGATTAAGTGAACTTATTTTAAAATTTAATTAAACATAAAAATATAATATACTATTAACTATAAATATGTGAAGATTTAGTTAGAAATTAATTTTAAGTTTTATCGTTTTTATTTAAAAAAAATTGTTAAAAAAAATCAAAATAATTAATTAAAATAAAGAATTTTAATTTAATAAATGTGTTAATATTATTAGTTATTGGAGAATTAAATTTATAATAACAATTATATAAAATTATAGAATTAATAAAATTTAAATTATTGGTATTTTTTTAATCATGAAGCTAAAATTTGATAATATTAATAAATTAAAATAAAAAAATTATATATATATATATATATATCACTTTAATTATTTTAATTAAAAATAATTTCATAAAAAACTAAAATTTGAAAATAAAAATGCAAAAGTATATATATTTTCTTTTATTTAATTATATTTTTTATTTTTTACTTTTTGGGTTTTAGTCCATTACAACAATTTAGTTGCCCTTATTTTAGTTTAACCTAAAAATCTCATCGTCTTACCACAAAAATATATAATTTCTCTTATTAACCAATTTTTTTATCAGATTAAGAAAATTATTACTAATAAGATTCAAAACCAAGTACCTTAAAGTTAGATACTAATACTCCAACCACTAAACTGTTAGAAGTTTTTAATAAAAATTTACAAATAAATTATATTTATATACAAATAAATGTATATCAGTGTAAATATATAAATATAAAATATATAAATATAAATATATTTATATATTTTGAAATATTTATATGTTCGATGTGAGAGTCACGCTAGAGGGTGAAAATGTGTGTCGAAGTAAGTTTTCAAAATTTGATGTCAAATTTGTGAGCGAGTCTCTTTATATGGATTTGTAATTTAATGATAAAATATAATCTTTATAATTTATTTATTTAATGATATAAAATAATTGTTTTCTTTATTTATTTTTATTTTAATTTATTCTTTTTATCTTTTTTTCTTCTATTATTTAATTAAAATTCTTATATTAAAATAATTTTTTCATTATTAAAAATAATTAAATATTTATTTTCAAAATGATATTTTAAAATTATTTAATTTAACAAATTATTATGATTTAATCTATGTATGGAAAAAATAATTATTAAAAGATGATTTTGATTAATTTATAATAATATATGTTAGGAAAAAATTGTTCTATTAATAATCATAATTAGATTAATTTATAATAATTTGTTAAATTAAATAATTTTAAAAATAAATATTTAATTATTTTTAATATTGAAAAAATTTATTTTAATATAAGAATTTTAATTAAATAATAGAAGAAAAAAATATAAGAAGAATAAATTAAAATAAAATAAAAATAAATAAAGAAAAAAATTATTTAATATCATTATATAAATAAATTATAAAGATTATATTGTGTAATTAAATTATAAACTCATATAAAGAGACTCGCTCACAAATTTGACATCAAATTTTAAAAATCCACTCGACACACACTTTCACCCTCGAGTGGATTTATATATTTACATGAATATATATTTTTATTTGTATATAAATATAATTTATTTATAAATTATTATTAAAAAATCCTAGTAGCTTAGTGGTTGGAGTATTAGTCTCTAACTCTAAGGTACTGGGTAGTGACCTCTCCCATGAGCGGAAACATTTATAAGTCATGAGTACCTAATAATAACCTTACTTGTACCAACCTACTATACTTCTCAAGAAAGACTTTTGACATAAGGACCTTTCATGGAGATTCTCACAAATGGGTCATGAGTCAACCATATAAGAGAATATGACACCACCTTCAATCCAATACCTTAAGACATTAGGTAGGTTATGGGTCTTTCTCACTTATAAGTTACTCAACTTTCTCATTTCTATCTAATGTGGGACTTCAAACTCACACTTAAGTTCTCAACAATCTCTCCCTCTCGCACACAGTCTCTTTCTCTTGGTGCCTCTCTCCCTCTCGCCATGCTCCCTCCTTGTGGTGGTCCGTGAGCAATGTGGACCATGGTGGGAGAGTTCATTCTTCCTCTCTAATAAGTAATTGTTTTGTCTTGATTAATGTATGGATTGATTTACTGTTTGCATTGTGATGATTGATAGTGATATTTGTTTTTTTTTTTTACCAAATTTGTGTTAAGTACGGGGATGTCTGATCCTCGACAAATTGTATTGTTAATTGAATTATATAGTTGTGTATGCATTACAAAATTTAAAAATGGACAAAAATTATATTAATTATGCACGCATAACTAATGAGTACGAGAAAGGAGTGAAAGAATTTTTATTATTTGCATAACAAAACACTTCAACTAGTTTTACTAGTGAAAGATTTCGATTTTTTTTCTTCACTAGCATGCTATTAAATTTATAATTCAGAAGTAACATCATTCTATCAATATTTACCTAACTAGCACTATTTTCAGATTTTTTTTTTTCAATAACACGCTATTAAATTTATAATACAGAAATAACATCATTCTATTTACCTTATTACACAATTTTCAACTTCACTAGTTAATATAATTTTTAAAATAAAATAATATTTA